TATGACCAAGTTGCGAAAACAAGGTCAAACAACTTCTATACAACGAAAGGAGACTGAGACCACACAAAAGTCCATACCATCTTGGTCTTCATACCTTCGATTATAATTATAGAAAACTCAAAAAGTCTATATTCGCAAAAGCTTAGAGTAAGACCTCGATATCTAAACCGCTCAATAGGATAGATTAAGTAAGATTACCTAGGATGAGTATGTGACTCTATAAAATAATCGAAAATAAATATTCAGATTTAAAGTATAATTAATTGTAAAACCTACACGGTAACCTCCATACTCGCTCCAATCCCAGTCAAAAACAACAGCAACCTACCTTGCGTTTTTCTTTCCGCTCTCTCAATGATCCAAAATAGGTGATGATCTTGAAGCCTGGACACCATCGCTTAAATTCCATCTCCCAATTGAGCATTACACTCGTGGGTACCACAATCAGATGTGGGCCCCAAACAGCCTGATCGCAAGCTAGATGAGCAAGTAACGCGATTGTCTGGATGGTTTTACCGAGACCCATTTCGTCAGCCAAGATGCCATTTAATCGTTTTGTGTAAATGGCAGAGAGCCAGCCTAATCCAACAAGCTGATATTCACGAAGGGTACCCGTGAGTAGAAAAGGTACCGGTGGTGGTACAGTAGGCGAAGCCAATGTTATGTCCGACGGCTGAGCGCTCATTGCCTCGGCAGTAAGAGACCGCAGTACATCAGCTTTCTGTAGAGGACAAAATCACAAGGAAATGGAGTGACACTAATAGTAATGGAGGAGGTAACTGAGATGACACTACTACAGCAACTAAAACCCTGCTTTTATAAATATTATTAAGGCGAACATCACAAAATCTGTTAGGGCCAAAATTTGAACCATATCCGGAAGCAATTAAGCTGGAAAACGGAGTTTCGAAGAAGCGCTTGAGATGCTAGCGTCTATATCATTTCAATTTAATGTAAGAAATTAGTGGGAGGGAAAACTATCCACTGGGAATTGTGAGATACTAATTTATATGTCAGAATTAATAGTTAAAACACGATCAGGAAGGAGGAATAATGAGAATATAGTGTTAGGTAAAAGAGGATACTTAAATAGGCCACCTCATTAACATAAAAGGGTTCAAAAATAAAAAACCTTAGTTCAGTTAACTTTCCCTAGCCTCATTCTAAACTTATAGAAAAGTCATGGTTATCATTAGGCAAAATGAAGACGTACCTGAAACGTGCT